CGTAAAATGAGACGCCGAAGACGACTAAGTAATAAAATATGGGGGGTGCCATTTAAAAAAATGAAGTTATGGTGCTTCCAAATTTCGAAAAGTTAACGTGTCATAGTAAAGTGACCAAACGATCTAGACAGCCGTTCTCGGCACCAAAACATACTCCATCATGTTGTTTAAGCATGTTCTGAATCCTAAATTGATATCTCAAAAATTGAGTGTTCTATGATTTTTTGAACAAATGTCCGCTGGAGCAAATTTTTCTAGAAAAATTCGAATAACTCGAGAATTGCTGGTTCAAATTGCAAAAAGTAAAGTTATTTATAAACCTTCAAAACAGACGAATCCAAATATGTAAAAATATACAGGGTGTTCCATTTAAAAAAACAAAGTAGGTGGCGACTTCCGGTATAACCGGAAGTGCTAGAAATCTGAAAATATTTTAGATGAAGAGAACGTAATTGATAATACTTAAGTCTGCATTCTTAAATTTTTTGTTTGGCCAGAACCCTAGAAACGTTTAATGACCGGTCTTGCTGAGACACCCTGTATAAGATAGACCAATGTCGCCAATGGCACTCTATTTTAGGATATCCAAGCAGCAATTGTCAGAAATTTTAACTTTCTAGCTCAATCAGTCGTTAAGAAATTCAGATTTAAAGAACACAGTGTTAATTGCTAAAACAGCTTCTAATTAAAATAATTCAAAGGGGTAAGTATCAATATATCTTATCAAAGTCAACATATTTTGGTGTGTAGAATCAGAACACGCAATAAAAACTATATCATTCCATTTAACATACATATAGTTCATTTCTTTTCTATAATACCTATCAAATTGTTGTAAAGTTGGCAAAATTAACAGGGAGTTTTGTTTTATCATGTTTTGAAATACATATGTCACACTGACGTTTGAGCTTTCGTTATTCAAAAAGAAAAGATGCATAAAAAATGTTGTGGGGTGGTTATTTGTCATTTATTTACCTAGAAAAGGTGTTTTGTTCTATTTAATTACTTTGTAGCACGATTTTACAATACATATGTACAGGTGTCCCGTTAAGCGTACGGAGCGACTGTATCTCAACAACGGTAAGGCCTAGAGGTTTGGGAACAAAATCTTTATAATCAAAGTGGGCAAGAGAAATAGCTGGAAATTATTTTGAAGTTCGTAATTCGACCGCTAGGGGGCGTAACTGCCATAGAGAAACATAAAATTCCCGCTGTCTCAGAAATTTAGACGATGAGCTATAACGTTGACAACATCATTTAGTAGCTTGGATAATACCGCATCGCTTTTGTTTTGCAATATTTTTCATATCTGTCATAATAAGGGAGGAGGAGGCCANTGGACAATTGTTTTCGGAGTTCCCAGATTATGTGGGATCACATTGCGCACCAATATGATTTACGAATTCATAGAGATGTCTGAATGGGCTACACGTTGCCAGTTTTCCGTAATCGCTAAGTCAATATTAAAAACACTTCTAGAGAAAAATATCTTTCTTTGTCGTAATTGCATTGCACATTTTTGCCATGCAGTTGCATCGTATCCGAAACATTGAAAATAAATCATCATACGCTCTATCATACGTTTCTGCGTTAGTAAATGACATGTTTACAGTTACCATGGTAATGTGATTTGTTTTTCTCGATGAGGTAACTGGATCCGATTGATGGCACTCGAGTTTTTAACATTTTCTTCTATAACTCGAGAACGGGTGGCGATATCGAGATGCGGTTTTCACTAAAATTTAGCAAATTTTAAGGTGACTAAGGGTCTGTGAAGTAAATAGTATCGTTCCATTTAACTTTTCTTCAAAAATCACAAAAATATGTAATCGCTGCAGATAACGTCCTCTAGCTCATTTGTTTTAAAGCAGACGGTCTTACTGAAAATATCTTTAAAAAGAGCATAAAATGCTCTTTCAAACAACACCGAAAATATTCAAATCGGTTGAATGGTCTAGGAGATATTAAAATGTAAACATATGAAAACGCATTGGCCTCCCCCTCCCTTATTATGACAGATATGAGAAATATNATGTAACATATTTTATTTTTTTACGCAAAAACTATCAATTTTAAGAGAAAAACTAAAGAGACAAAAAAGAACCACTAAAGAATGAGCTGTACAACCCATATTTTTCTATGTTAATATTGCATTGCGTTAAAAAGTTCTTCTAAAAAGAACCAAGGGGGTGGTGAATTTCATCCCCTTAGAGGGCGCTAGGGAAGCTTAAGGTATGCTAGAAAACAAGATGTTAACCAGTAGTAAATACATACCAAATTTCAAATTCTTCGGTTTACTTATAGCCGAAATAAATAATAAAATGTAAATTTTTAGCTCAACTTTGATCGCTCATAGCTCGAAAACAAAAGAGTTGCGACCCTATGTTTATATAAAATACTTGTGTTATTTTGGCAAGTACTACATCCTAGTAAAGTTTCCCGAATAAAAACTGAACCACCCTGTATATTATGTTCATATCGGTACGTCGGTATGGAACATCCTGTATGTATCCTTACACAACTTTTGTCTAAGGAAGAACTGTGTATCTCATCTCGGCTTTTTAACGCCATTTATGTACTTTGCCGCTTGCGTGGGACACCTGTATGTATATTATAAAAATTCGTTCAGAATTACATTGAAAACATCTTATAAAATTGATCAAAAAAATATTTTAATTTTAAACAAAAATAATCAGGACTTTGTAGCGCTAGTATCGATTTCTTTTTAATAAAATATTCATTATTAAGACATATAACGTTAATAAAATTAATAATATTAAATAGTTTTACCGCAAAATTTTATTTTTTAGATATAATAGTGATCCAGGTAAAACCGATGTAAAACTAGCTGTTAGCAATGGCAGTAAAGAAAATGAAAAATCATCCGGGGCATCTCGAAGCGCATCGTTCAGTAATCGCATAAGAAGTCCACCAACTTCTCCGCCACCGCCACCGGATGTAACAAAACGACCAAATCCAGTGAGACGTGAACGTCCCGTCTCAACACCGGTGATTCCCGTTGTAAAACGTCATCAACCCGATTATTTGGTATCCTCCCCAACGAAATCTCCCTCGCCACCACCTCCTCCTCCNAGCATCTCGAAGCGCATCGTTCAGTAATCGCATAAGAAGTCCACCAACTTCTCCGCCACCGCCACCGGATGTAACAAAACGACCAAATCCAGTGAGACGTGAACGTCCTGTCTCAACACCGGTGATTCCCGTTGTAAAACGTCATCAACCCGATTATTTGGTATCGTCCCCAACGAAATCTCCCTCACCGCCACCTCCTCCTCCTCCAACAAAAATTGAAAAATCGTCGAGTTTAATTCTTGAAGAAGAGGAATTACCGAAAATTCCGCCGATTTCAACAAATACTTATCGCGTGACGAAACCGTTTTTTAAAAGGGATGAAAAGTCATCGCTGGATGATAATAAGGCTAATTATGCTTGTGAAACGCCTCCGAAACCCGCGTCTCGCTCGTCTAGTCGAGATAGTCTTGATGATAATAAGGTGAAAAGCGAGGAAAAAGAGGCGGGGAGTAGGGAGAATTTATCTGGAACTTCGGGGAGTTTATCATCGCTTAGTCCGCCGAGTAGTCCTAGTAGAGTTAAAACGGAAAATGAGAAACAAGAGGATGAAGGAAATGAAAAAGGTAAGAATACATTTTATCTTTTATTTATTATTATAAATATCGTTATTGACAAAATTGTCTGCAAACTGACCATTTCCTGTTTGCAATTTGAGGTCAATTTAACATAAATGATTCTCCCCTCTGTATTAAATTAAAATCGTCAATTTATTTATCGTTACATTAAAAATGTTTCTGTTTGTATCCATTGCGTCTTGTTGATCTCGAGATTCTCCAGAAAGTTTCCATCTCTTTTCTTTCTGACGAGTTGGATGTATAAAAATTGTTGCCCCTGGCGCTAACACTCAACAAGAAGTCGTCGCGTTTAAAATGTGTAGGTCTGCTGGAATTTATTTATAGATTAGTGAACGCGACGCAGCGATCGCGAACGGACCTAGCTAGGAAACCATTTAATCTCGTCTCGTTTCAGTCATTCAGTTGTCTTGTGTTTGCGCGACGTTCAAAATCACGTTAAATTAAGCCATGAGATTATTTGTATTATTAAATAATCAAAAAATTAACAATCAAAAAGAAAAAATAAGTGAGGTGGGTTGTCTTTGGGAAGTATGTGTCTACGTTTGAAACTATTTTGCATCGATTGTTCAGGTTATTTAATTTTATTTATTTTTTTTTATTTGATTTTATTGTTTAACTTTGACTTTTAAATCGTAAATATTAATTGGTTTCGTTGTCGAGGAAGTCGTCAGACGCATTCGATGGAGTGTATTTATATTTAGACGTCTTCCTATTTTCGGGATTCGTCCGAGAAATGAGGTTCAAAAACGATACAGAAAACACAAGAGACACAATTTTCATTCGAATCATTCAAACGCATAATAAACATAAAAAATTAATAAAAGAATTTTATGAATGGATATCTTTATTCATTTCGAATATACTCAGACGTAGATATCGCTTAATTTATTCGATGAAATGAAAAAAATAAAGTCGACCCACGGTCTCGTTGAAAACGTTATCCGGGTGCAGTTTGAATGTAACTTTTAAATGTTATAAAGATTTGTTTAAAGTTTTTTTTTTTAATTTGGGTACTCATTTAAGAGTGACCTTGTTTAATTAACACGCATGATGTTAGCCTAAGATACCAACTATAAATTAAAAAAATAAAACAATGAAAGAAGTGGTCCAAGTTTCTAATCGATTTCAATAATATCAATGTCATCGTATTTCTTAACGTATAATTGATGAAAGAATTGTCTTTATTCGATAATTTCGATAAATTTTATTTATTTATTCTGAACATGTTAAATTTGCGTGTTTAGATAACTCGGGTTTCGCTTTATAATATACGAACGGGAATAGGGTTTCTATTTTTTAAGGTTTCTTCCATTGATTCGTTATCCAAGCAGGAACTAAGCATGCTTTACTCAAGGTAGTTGCTCAGTTACTTATTTAGTGTATGGCACATATAAGACAATATGCAAATATATAACATTCAAGAGCTGCGGGTTTAGTTGCAAAGAAGTTCCTCACGACGTTAAGAAAAGATCTAATAGGGCAATCATCCACAATGTGCTGAATAGAATGTTTTGAAGCTTCGCAGTCACATTGAAACGATGGTAGCACCTCCCATTTGTGAAAGCTATTACCATAAATTTCATTTTCCATAGGCGGCGGGAAAGTCCAAATCTTTTTGGTTCTTGATTTGGGAGAATCTATTCGTATATTCCTGGTATTGCTTTGGCGTTCCAGGAATGCAAGATGCAAATGACAATAAATCCAATTCATCTTGCTGCAAATATTTCTAGATCAAAATTTTAATGGATTTCATCTTAATAGAAGAGAACAAATACAAGGAACAGAGCTTATTGTCTATAAGCTACTGTAACAAGCTTCATTGGGTGTACAGAGGTAATGGCAGAATTGGCCCTTTATCAATCTAAAGAAGGGTTATTTGGAAAACCATATGTTTTAAAATTCGTGGAAAAACTACATCCCGTTGTATGGTGGAGATACTATGGGTCAAGATACTAAGTATGCCTGCGTCGAGTGCAGCAACAGAAAAAAGCTTCAGCACCTACAGCTTTATTCACACTCCATAAGTCCTCCATTAATCCCATAAATAGGAACCATGCCAGGTTACAGCCGTCAGACTGAATTTGTTGAATTTTCAATTCTTTTAGGAGAGCCTTCTTACTTTGTAAATTTGGCGAGGCGAAATTGCTTAGCGTTGAAAACCAGTACAGAGGAGAGAATTTAAGACATCTTGATATTGTTCTCATAGTCGAGTTATTATTATTATTGCTGCCGGGCTGAGGAGAGCGGCCCCTCTCGTTACCGCGACCTATAAGATCTATTGTAACTTTAGCCCTCCAAAGGTTTAGGACAAATGTAGGTCCTTAATGAACCTTAGTATTGTCCTGAGGTCTTGAACCTTTATGTCGGTAGGTAACAGGGGAGTTTTACCGAAGACGTTGTGCCTTAGACGTCCTCTGGCGACGCAATTGCACAGTATATGTTCAGCAGTTTCTGACTCGTCGTTGCATAGTCGACAAGTTTGATCCTCAGCTTGTCCAATGTGGAAGAGGTGGTATTTTAGGGGCACATGGCCGGTTAGGTAGCCTGAGAGCGTTCTTAGATCCCCTTTGCTGAGGCATAAAACCTCTTTGGTTTTGTTTTGCGACGGAGTTATCATACTCTTCGCTTGTCTGTGACCTGGAAGTTCTTTCCAGCGTAAGGCTATCTTTGAAGCCTCCCAGTTGTTGATTATTTGTTTTAGGTGGCTTTTTTGTAGTCCACATCCAGGTTGG